GTTGAACAGAAAGACAAGACAGGGAATGGGGGCAAGAGATTTATCTATGTATGTATTGAGGATGGGTTGGACAACTGTATTGTGCATTTCTGTTGGTCTATGGAAAGAAACAGTTAATGCTTAATTTGTTTCATCTCCTTTTTTCAATTGTTTGTACCTTTTTTTATATATATATATTTTAGTACAGGGTCTACAGGGACTCACTACGTAGATCAGACTCTTAGTGATCCGCCTGTGTCCAGCCTCCCAAGAGCTGGTATTACAGTATTACAGGCCCGCGCCACCACGCCCAGTCTCAACTGCCACCCAGTCTCAATTGCCGTCTCAGCACACCCCAGGGGCAGGACCGGCAAAGCATGCTGGGGATCCAACCACGGCGCTGCATCTGCCTAAGCAGGAGCTTTAACCTGCTGAGCTATTTGGCCAGCCCCCAATTGTACATTTTCTGTTCTTAATTTCTTTCTCCATTTCTTTCTTTTTTTTCTTTTTTCCAATTTTACACGCATATATCTGGTAATATGAATAAATGGTTGGAAGACAACACTATGCATTACAACAAGTACTGTGAAATTCATATTACTTAAGTGAAATTCTGTATCACTTGTAATTTTTTTGTTTTAATTCTAATTTGTACCTTTTGAAAAAATAAAATTTACAAAGCACATAGGCTGAACATGTAACAATCTGAAACATGAAAAGCTTCACTCAGGAAAGACTGCTTATATACTATGGCAACTTGCTACTTGAAAGTCACAAATCTCTGAAAACTTAAACTGCAAATGATACTTTGAGTAAGTCACTGAAATCCTCCAGGACAATTGCAACAGGGAACGCAAGAAGAGACTGCCTCCACAGGAGAAAAGGTCAGATTCCTTCTATGGACCCTCTATGTCTCCCCTTCTCTGTTCTCTGTCTCCAGCTCTCATATGCTCTCCCCCTCTTCTCTCTCACCACCAGCATCTGCATCTGGGCAGTTCCTCCCAGGCCAGGTGCTCCCTATGCACCTTTCCTCCCTTGGATGTTCCCAGACCTTACTTGTCCTCATTTCTCTTCATTTTTCCCTCCAATGGTTCTCCTTCCCTACATTATTTTTCTCTGATTTATTACTTAATTAGCTTTTCTTCTCGCCTATAATCTGTTCCCCCAATTCAAATGTACAGTTCACAATGACAGCCTAGACAATGCCATACAGGGGATACAAATGTTTGTGGGAGGGAAGGAGAGGGAAGGAAGAAAGGATGGAGGGAGGGAGGGAGAGACGGAGGAGGGAGGGAGGAGGTTCTTATCAGTAGCATTATAAAATTACTCAAATATATATAGATATAACTTGATGAAAAATACCTGTTCCTTATTATGCCTAAGATGGTTGAGATGCAGTGAGATAGTGAGGTTAAGCTTGATAGCCTAAATCGTTTGATAGTGACAATAGGCTTGTCTTCTGGATGGTTGGCAACCTAAGTTTGTAGACCAAAATTGGAGAAAGGGGAGGGCTGCAGGGAGGGTAAACATTTTGGCCCTAGCCTTCTAGGGTCAATTGAGACTCAGGGCATGTGAGAACTTGTGCTGTAGCGTCATGTACCTCGGTGGTGTCCCAGATTTTCTGATCAAGAAGATTGTGGGGCCAAGGAGTAAAGTGATCGATGGCGTAGGGTGTGCCTGAGGAGAGTCACATGGGGAGGGGACACTCTCTCAGGCTTTCGCGGAGAGCACATTGGCCAGGCATTGGCCGTGACTTGTCCACATGGCTGACGCTGACAAGGGTTCTACAATCTGAGGTGCAGGGTCTCGGGATAAATCCTGAGGGCATTTCACTGACCTTCTCAGACCAAAGGGCTGCAACTCTTGTTGCACGGGTCCTGCTTTACCTTGGTCTTGACCATCCAGTAGAAAAGTATGAAGACGAAATATAGGAAGTGAAGCCATGTTGTTATGTTGAGCTGTGGGGGACTCAGGTCAATAATTTCTGACATTGCCAGTTAAACGGAAGATCCAATGCTATTGTGGGCTGCTGGACTCTTTTGGAATGTTTTACTGAGTCTACACACCTATAATATTCAGTAACGGAACTTAAAAAAGATGGGGTATAACTATGAATGTCCATTTTGTATCTGTGTATTCAAAGTGGTTGGGATAGATATATAGTTGCATTCTCTTAATGAATAGAATGATTTTTTCTAATGGTGTTTGTAAGTAGGATCACAAGTCTGCATCTTGTACAGCAATTAACAACTAAGAAGAATATATGCAGTGTATTGTTTGTTGAAACTGTACTTTCGATTTGATTTGAAACTGTCTCATTGCTATATGTTTATCAATAAAACTTTGAAAAGAAAAAAAAATAAAAAATAAAAATAAAAAATAAAAAAAACAAATATTTATATAGATATAGACAGATCTATATAAGACCAAAAGAGGATGAAATCATACTCAGAAAATAAATCCATTATTAGTAATTAGAAGTAGCCAGCCAAATGTGGTGTTATATAACTGTGATCCCAGCACAGTGGGTGGCTGAGGAAGGAGAATCACAAGGTCTATATGAGTCTGGGCAACTTAGTAAGGTCCTCAACATAAAATAAAAAGGGTTGGGGATATAGTTCAATGGTAGCACACACATGAGCTTGATTCCCAGTATTGCAAAAAGAAAAACAGAAAGTATCCTACAAAGACAGAAAGATAATATAGTAAATCAGATAGGGCAAGAACTAGATCCAGATTCAAAATAGCATGGCATGTGGCACATGCCTGTAATCCCAGCACTTGCCCAAGGATTGCCAAAGATTTGAGGCCTGCCTAAACTACATAGTGAGATCCTGTCTCGGGGAAAAAAAGAAAAAAGAAAAACTACATAGAAAATGTATTTTTAGGG